CGAAGTCCATTTATCAGTAAAATACGATAGATATTTTAAGAATGTTGCTGTGGACACTGTCTTTTGGTCATAAACCAGATTCCGTCCATATTTCATAAATTTACATGAAGGTTTGTTAAAATTATTGATGTCTTATAAAATTTAACCACAAACTGAACCTAACTGGTGACGACAGCGGCGACGACGGAATCTAGGATCGCTATGTCTCGCTTTCGCGACATTAATGTCGCAGGCCATTGATATTTTAAAGTGCGTTTGATATGTGACTGTTATTCTTTATTCAAACATGTTTTCCTTTTTTAATACATAATTTTAATAATGAAAAAACAAAATATGCAATGATGTATATAGATATTAGAAGATGTGGTATGAGTTCCAATGAGACAACTCTCCATCCAAGTCACAATTTGTAAAAGTAAACCATTATAGGTCAAAGTACGGCCTTCAACACGGAGCCTTGGCCCACACCAAACAGCCATTTTGGAAAAAAAAAATGTCCATCCTTGACCTTTGTTTGTGATGTGACGAAAATTGTACCGATCGAATATTTGACGAACGGGCAAAAGTTCAGATATTATGCCTTCGAATGGTATCGGGCAAAAGTTCAGATATTATGCCTTCGAATGGTATATAAGTTAGGTGCATTTAAAATGAAATTGTATGGTTTATGTCAGTCTATTGTCAGTTTGTATTCGACTTCTGAGTTTGAATATCCTTTTGGTATCTTCCGCCTCTCATCTTCTGTAGAGGTGGAAGATCATGATGTGTGTAAAGTTTCAATCCAATTGGTTCCCTAAAGTGTTGCATTTCATTAAAAAATGAGACGGAGTAAACTGTACATACCTGATATTTACAAAGATAAGTTGATATATAATACTCAAGTGATTGTACATCAAACAAATCGTTGAACATACGTGTTGTTCATATTTCTCCTTTGCCGCAATTTGTTCAGATCCAATTTTAATCTTTTACTTATTTTTATTGGTTAGTTCTAATTGTAATGAGTCTGTCATATTTTATGACATGTTTCTTTCAATTTTGTTCCGAATCAAGTAAATTGTTTTCCACAAGCATGATATTCTGCATGATCAATTATCCAAGGACAAACATTTTTTTTTCAAAAGTTTGCTTTCAATTCTAATTATTATACAGACAAACTGATGTATTTATTAGTAATTAAGGAAAACTCGTTTTGATGCACAATAAAAATCTGACCTTGACCTCATTGTCATGTTTCATATGTCGATCCTAAGTTTTTAACCGGATTTTCGAGGGGAAAAAATCGGTTATTCATTTGGGGATGTACGGCGGGCGGGCGGGCGGGCGGGCGGCTGCCAAATAATGTCCGTTCATTAACATGAAAACGCTTTGACGAATTTTTTTTAATTTAGATATGTTGTTACCTGTGACTAAATGAAGGTCAAGTTCAATTTTCACGATTTTAGCATTTCTCGTTGTTGAGTTATAGCCCTTTCCCAAGAATTCAATTTTTGATGAAATACTTATTAATTACTCCATTTCTGTTCAAAGGGAAATAACTCATTTTTTAAAAGATTTTTAAGACATTGTAGTAATGATAAATGACATTTTGGATTTTTTTTTCTTTTCTTTGGTAAATTGTTTGAAGAATTTTGTGGTAGGTTTGTTTGTTATTCTGTATAAAACTAATTTTCTGAATGCTATATATAATTTTTTTTTGATGAAGTGAACTCCTTTAATTATATAATAATCTATTTTTATTAAAGGATATATTTCATTACATTACATTGTGTAGATAAAGTTGTTGACATTGATAGATAAGTTACAGATCTATATTAGTTTGTGACAAATGAAAGAAAAAATATTTGGAACTATTAATTATATTTGATTATAATTTGAAAATAGATATACATTGTGTTACATCATATCTAATTTTAGAGAACTACTTTTAGTGGTTAAATCATATCTTATTTTAGAGAACTATGTATGTTTTATTAGTTAAACCATTTCTGTTCAAAGGGAAATAACTCAAACTTATTCCATGAACCAGTAATGATAACATAAGTATATGGATTCTGTTCAATTAATTTTAGTCATTAGTTGTCAAAATTTCTTTATGACTATTTTTTTTTAAGTCATGTGTGTTATGAAGTTAGATGTCACAGTTGTTTTGTGGTATTTTATTTTTGTTGTGTGTGTCAATGTTTAATTTTTACATGATCCTGTTTGGGGATTGAGATTTGCAAATATCAATTTCATTATTAACTTGATAATAATCTATTTTAAATATTCAATCACAATCCAAATTCAGAGCTGTTTTAAGCTTAAATGTTGTGTCCATACTTGCTCAACTGTTCAGGGTTCGACCTTTGCAGGTTTGCTGTCACTCGACAGCCTCTTGTTTGTGTTTTGGTCTGTTTTGTAAATACTATTAGCCATACGTTAACTTTATTTGGTGTATGTAATGAATTTAAGGTTTGCATGTCTATCTGGCAGGTACTAGTATTATCTGTCCATGATCGCATTTTTATGGTTCATTTTGTCATTGGTCAATGTTAACTTTCCAAAATTCGGTCCCCTTTTCAGATACAATAAGCAATAGGTAATTTATATTTGGTGCATGGAATGGTTTTAAAGGTACTGTCTAGCAAGGTTCATCTGACCTTGACCTAATTTTCATGGTTCGCTGGTCAATGTTTAGTTTGCCTGGGTGTCTGTTTCTTAGATACAATTAGCAAAAGGTCAACTATAGTTGGTGTATGGAATGATTATAAGGTGTACATGTATGTCTGCTAGGGTATATCAGACATTGTCATGGATCATTGATAATGTTAAGTTGATGTGATACTTCTAGAAAACCTTTATCCATAAGAATTAGGCCTTAGCCGTATCATGTACAATTTTATTTTCGGTTCGCAATGTTCTTCAAGTTCGTATTGATATGGCTTTCTGACTATCTGATTAGTCAAATGTAGGCGAAACGTGGGTGAGTGACCTTCATTCCGATCCTTACCTCCCCAAAAATATGGAGGCATAATCTCCGATCAATGTTTTGGAGACTCACTGTTTTGCTAAATTAATATTATTTTTATTCTGTCTTCTTTTTTAACATTGTTTTAATTTTTGGAATATGTTACTACTCTATTTTCTTTCAAAACATCACATCTTCAAAATGGATGCATTTTTTTTTTAAAATATAGACAAAAAATGATTGATAACCTTGCACCTGGCTATAATGGGCAGTGTCAAATTTGGACTGATTTATGTACAAAAACTTTAGATTCTTATTTAATATTTGAGTGGTCCTGATGGTCTATTTGTGGATCTGGTCTCTCAGTTTGCAGCAGTTCTTGGTAGCTTTGGTTTGCAGTAACTGCCGTGGAACTGTAAGGCAGGCTATGGATCTAATTGACCTTTGCTGTAATGGTTTCTCTCCATATCTTGTGCTAAGCCAGCTTTCTTGCATTCTCCTTTCTTGAACTGCTGGTCTTAGTATATAATCCTAGTTATATTTAAAGTCGGTTTCTATTTTCTTCAGGTAAAATTGACTTTGTTCAAAAAGGTCTACTCCTAGATTCGTACATTTCAGTTGTGTGAATTTCCCGGCATGTTGTTATTTCTATGTACTCCTTTGTTGATCGCAAATAGGATGGATAGGACTCCATCCAGTTTTCAAACTAGAACTGATTTATTGTGCAGGATGTTAGCACGTACACAATTGTTGTGCTTATTATCAGAATTATCTTTTTCATTAACTTTCCTCAAATGACGGGATGTTGAACTTTGTCAATTTTTCCTAAAAGTATGAATGCAGGGTACATAGATGGTTTTTCTGATTAAATCCTATAGCTATTTTAACATTCAGCAGATTGTGTGTACACATATTAAAAGAGTGCATATTATTATGAATTCGATTTCTTCGGCATTTTTTTGTGAAATTATGTTTGAGGAGTACAGAAAAAGAAAGGCGGAAGATACCAAAGATATATTCAAACTCAAAAGTCGAAGATAATAAGTAGATGACCTTTGTCATTACATAATTAAGAAAAAAGCATTTATGATGCATTCTTCTGTGGTAAATATAACTGTTATTTAATTGTTTAACATCGATCCCATATTTGTCTAGTTTTGTAATATTTTAGTGATATGAATTGGTGAATAACCATGATTTCATGTAAGTTAATGTACAAAAAAAAATTATTTATACAAAAGTGTTCACTTTTCAGTACTATTATCGTACAAATGCCGATAGACCAGTTTTACCGAGTCACGAAACCTCTGCCCTTTTTTTTTTTAATTCCAAAGCGATTAAGAGGCAGACGCACCCCGTTCTTTTGCATTTTGAAAATAAACAGTTGTCTGAAAAACGTTTCGTAATGCCTACAGAAATTGAGCTGATATTTGGTACATTGTATAACGATAATTTACAAATCAAATTCATTTCGGTTGACCGATTTTTCACAGAATAAAGTTTTTAATTGTCTGAACGTTATTTTGTGTGGAATGCATGCAGATGTGCAGCTGATTTTTTAAAGTAACTGTAAAATTGAGGCAAAAATACCAAAGGGACATTCAAACTAATAAGTCGAAAATAAACTGACAACGCCATGGCAAAAAAAGAAAAAGACCAAAAGACAAACAACAGTACACAAAACACAACATAGAAAACTAAAGACTGAGCAACACGAACCCCACTAAAAACCGGGGATGATTTCAGCTGCTCTGGAAGGTTAAGTAGATCCATGGTTCACATGTGGCTCCCGTGGTGTTGCTCATGTAAGTACAAACCTGGTAAGAGTATAAAGATGGAATAACAGATCATGTTTGTTCAAATCTGGTTTACTGACTTTTCATATTTAGGATACAGCCTGGGCATTTGTTTTGAATTATCGGTTATTCATTCAAGCATGGGTTTTGGATACTTTTGTGCTAGCATTCTAACATATTATTTCTTGTTATCATGTAACGTTTTTCAAGTCAGATTAGGGATGAGGCAAACTTTATACATTATATTCTTAAAGGAATCTATGCCTACGTAGTGTTAATGGAGGACGGTAAACATAATGAAGAGGAACTTGAAGAAGAACTCAGGAAAATGGTTAAAACAAAGATTACCGGCTTTGCTCAACCAGATAAAATATTGGTATGTTTATCTTCGAATAGAAAGATAATGGAAGATTATTTGCTAACAAAGAACATCTTTGTTTGCCAAAAGAAAATATATAATTAAACAAAAACATTTAAACACAACATATTTTATTCATAAATATGATTATACATCAAAGATACCAAAATGGCATTGATTGAGTCAGTATAAACGATTTCACTTGAAAATTACCTTGCCCAGTATAAACATCTTGAAAAATCCTGAATACAGACTGCAAGATTAAATAGTTTATTCATTTTCCATGCAAATGTCATTATTTGTTTTGATTTTCTGACAATGAAAAGCACAATAAAGGTAAAATGATTATGTAAGGGGACATAATTTAACTTAATGCATACATGAGAAATAGACAAACAGTCAACTTAGAGATATAAGAGATAAAATGGTAAGATGGTATTATTTTCACCGAAATAAATAAATTGCATAATTTCAGTACAGCTTTACTAGTTTTGTTTAGGTTTAATTTGTAGTTTTGTGGTAACATGACACCAGTATGAGCTTTTTTGGAACCAGCAAGTGGTTAAGGGGTCCTTACTTATTCATTTAGCCCTCATATTTGGCTGAAATAGAGATAGCAATAGGGGTTTCTTTACACTGACAAGACATTTTTTTTGACAAAGAATGTAATTATGATTGTTTATCAGCAAGATTAAATAGTTTATTCATTTTCCATGCAAATGTAATTAATTGTTTTGATTTTCTGACAATGAAAAGCACAATAAAGGTAAAATGATTATGTAAGGGGACATAATTTAACTTAATTCATACATGAGAAATAGACAAACAGTCAACTTAGAGATATATTCTAGTACATGTATTGTCAAAAAGATTTTAGAATAATAGTTAACTGCCATCTAAATAATCTTGTTGTGTTGCCTTCATAATCTGGAAATGCTTAAAGTAATGTAAGGCATGCTGTTAAATGTGGAATGGACTTTAATATCATTTTTTATGATTTGGTGCTTAAACTGTTTCTTTCAGTCAGATTAACTATAAATAGAGTTGGCAATCCAATAATTCCTCCTGAATCACCATGTTTGACTTCTGTGTTGATTTGAAACATCATATATTTGGATTTTGTTCACTCCTTAAGTAAAAATGGTAAGATGATAAAAAATTGAAAATCTGCCAGCTGGGGTAGGGGTGTAATCTTTCAATTTTTTTGGGTAAGAAATAAGTTCAGACTAGTATTCTTTATTGTAATATGTTACATAGTAAGAAGGCTATGCATCATAGGTGTCATGACTGATTTCAAATTTGATATGTCTTGGTTAAGGGGGATATACATGTTTACACTAAATCAATGAAGGATTTTTGTTTACCTATGCAATTTGTAAGTTTATCAATAAAAAGTTGTTTAAGGGCAACTATGATAAAAACAACCCTTAAATTCCACCCCTGGGAGTGAAAATTGCTGATTCAGCAAATTTTGCCTGATCTGTGGGTAATAAAGTAAAAATTTACCTAGAAAGTAGAACTTCATTATTTTTATGTAACTTGCAATACATTTTTAATTATAAATGCTCGCTTTAACTTTTCGCAGTGTCTGACACATGTGAAACCACTGGAATTTGATATGCGACATATTTTATTTGCCTGTACATCCTATTGTTTTCACCGAAATAAATAAATTGCATAATTTCTTATTTTTTTCCACACAAGTACAGCTTTACTAGTTTTCTTTAGGTTTAATTTGTAGTTCTGTGGTAACATGACACCAGTATGAGCTTTTTTGGAACCAGCAAGTGGTTAAGGGGTCCTTACTTATTCATTTAGCCCTCATATTTGGCTGAAATAGAGATAGCAATAGGGGTTTCTTTACACTGACAAGACATTTTTTTTGACAAAGAATGTAATTATGATTGTTTATCAGCAAGATTAAATAGTTTATTCATTTTCCATGCAAATGTAATTAATTGTTTTGATTTTCTGACAATGAAAAGCACAATAAAGGTAAAATGATTATGTAAGGGGACATAATTTAACTTAATTCATACATGAGAAATAGACAAACAGTCAACTTAGAGATATATTCTAGTACATGTATTGTCAAAAAGATTTTAGAATAATAGTTAACTGCCATCTAAATAATCTTGTTGTGTTGCCTTCATAATCTGGAAATGCTTAAAGTAATGTAAGGCATGCTGTTAAATGTGGAATGGACTTTAATATCATTTTTTATGATTTGGTGCTTAAACTGTTTCTTTCAGTCAGATTAACTATAAATAGAGTTGGCAATCCAATAATTCCTCCTGAATCACCATGTTTGACTTCTGTGTTGATTTGAAACATCATATATTTGGATTTTGTTCACTCCTTAAGTAAAAATGGTAAGATGATAAAAAATTGAAAATCTGCCAGCTGGGGTAGGGGTGTAATCTTTCAATTTTTTTGGGTAAGAAATAAGTTCAGACTAGTATTCTTTATTGTAATATGTTACATAGTAAGAAGGCTATGCATCATAGGTGTCATGACTGATTTCAAATTTGATATGTCTTGGTTAAGGGGGATATACATGTTTACACTAAATCAATGAAGGATTTTTGTTTACCTATGCAATTTGTAAGTTTATCAATAAAAAGTTGTTTAAGGGCAACTATGATAAAAACAACCCTTAAATTCCACCCCTGGGAGTGAAAATTGCTGATTCAGCAAATTTTGCCTGATCTGTGGGTAATAAAGTAAAAATTTACCTAGAAAGTAGAACTTCATTATTTTTATGTAACTTGCAATACATTTTTAATTATAAATGCTCGCTTTAACTTTTCGCAGTGTCTGACACATGTGAAACCACTGGAATTTGATACGCGACATATTTTATTTGCCTGTACATCCTATTGTTTTCACCGAAATAAATAAATTGCATAATTTCTTATTTTTTTCCACACAAGTACAGCTTTACTAGTTTTCTTTAGGTTTAATTTGTAGTTCTGTGGTAACATGACACCAGTATGAGCTTTTTTGGAACCAGCAAGTAGTTAAGGGGTCCTTACTTATTCATTAAGCCCTCATATTTGGCTGAAATAGAGATAGCAATAGGGGTTTCTTTACACTGACAAGACATTTTTTTTGACAAAGAATGTAATTATGATTGTTTATCAGCAAGATTAAATAGTTTATTCATTTCCATGCAAATGTCATTAATTGTTTTGATTTTCTGACAATGAAAAGCACAATAAAGGTAAAATGATTATGTAAGGGGACATAATTTAACTTAATGCATACATGAGAAATAGACAAACAGTCAACTAAGAGATATATTCTAGTACATGTATTGTCAAAACGATTTTAGAATAATAGTTAACTGCCATCTAAATAATCTTGTTGTGTTGCCTTCATAATCTGGAAATGCTTAAAGTAATGTAAGGCATGCTGTTAAATGTGGAATGGACTTTAATATCATTTTTGTCGAGCCTGCGACTTTTGTCGCAGAAAGCTCGACATAGGGATAGTGATCCGGCGGCGGCTACGGCGGCGGCGTTAGCTAACTTCTTAAAAGCTTTATATTTTAGAAGGTAGAAGACCTGGATGCTTCATACTTTGTATATGGATGCCTCATGTTACGAAGTTTCCGTCAGTCACATGTCCAATGTCCTTGACCTCATTTTCATGGTTCAGTGACAACTTGAAAAAAAAGTTAACATTTTTTGTAATGTTAAATTCTCTCTTATTATAAGTAGTAGGATAACTATATTTGGTATGTGCGTACCTTGCAAGGTCCTCATGCCCGTCAGACAGTTTTCACTTGACCTCGACCTCATTTCATGGATCAGTGAACAAGGTTAAGTTTTGGTGGTCAAGTCCATATCTCAGATACTATAAGCAATAGGTCTAGTATATTCGGTGTATGGAAGGACTGTAAGGTGTACATGTCCAACTGGCAGGTGTCATCTGACCTTGACCTCATTTTCATGGTTCAGTGGTTATAGTTAAGTTTTTGTGTTTTGGTCTGTTTTTCTTATACTGTATGCAATAGGTCTGCTATATTTGGTGTATGGAATGATTGTAAGGTGTACATGTCTAGCTGGCAGGTGTCATCTGACCTTGACCTCGTTTTCATGGTTCAGTGGTCAAAGTTAAGTTTTTGAGTTTTGGTCTTTTTTTCTAATACTATATGCAATAGGTCAACTATATTTGTTATATGGAAGAATTGTTAACTGTACATGTCTGCCTGGCATGGTTCATCTGACCTTGACCTCATTTTCATGGTTCATTGGTCAGTGTTTAGTTTTCTTGGTTAATGTTAAGTTTATGTGACAGTTGTAATAAAGCTTTATATTTAGGACTATCAACATAATATCAATGATTAGTAAAGAAGGCGAGACATTTCAGCGTGTGCACTCTTGTTTATGATTTGGTGCTTAAACTGTTTCTTTCAGTCAGATTAACTATAAATAGAGTTGGCAATCCAATAATTCCTCCTGAATCACCATGTTTGACTTCTGTGTTGATTTGAAACATCATATATTTGGATTTTGTTCACTCCTTAAGTAAAAATGGTAAGATGATAAAAAATTGAAAATCTGCCAGCTGGGGTAGGCGTGTAATCTTTCAATTTTTTTGGGTAAGAAATAAGTGCAGACTAGTATTCTTTATTGTAATATGTTACATAGTAAGAAGGCTATGCATCATAGGTGTCATGACTGATTTCAAGTTTGACATGTCTTGCTTAAGGTAGCACGGTAGTATTTGCAATCCAGAATTTAGGTTGCTCTTTTGTGTACCCTACTTAAGTCAATTAAGTAATAAAGTAATTAAGTTTGACAATGAGGGTCGGTTGAAAATAAAACTTTACGACAAAAGAGATCATTTCAGCTTCCCAATTGTGAACCTTCCATTTCTATGTAGCAACATTCCAGCAGCGCCTGCATACGGAGTATATACCTCCCAATTGATACGATATTCCCGTGTTTGTGTTGTGTTTCCTATCATGATTTCCTTGATAGAATATTGCTGCTTACAAGGAAGCTATTAAG